TGGGCTTTGTGAGATTTAGGTGCGCACTGTAGGAAGTTGTAGCCTTCATGACAATTTCAGTGAAGTACTTCGGCTGTCAGAGTTCTCAATAGCCCTGTTCCTCCCTCCTCTGCCAGTGGTGAATTTAAAGCATTGATAGACACTGAAAGATAGAGCTTAATCTCCTCCATTCTCTTCTCACTGAAGGCTCTCTTGGGTCCACTACTGAAAGAAGGGACTTGCATACGTATCAGCATAATTCCGTTAAGGATTCCAGGTATCACTGTTGGTATGTTAAAAAATCCACAGTTTGGAAGGGTTTTTTTCATGCTTGAACTTTTTTCAGGTAAGGTGGCATCCACTACAAAACCCAGTGGTAGACAAAAAAAAATCAAGCAAGACATTGAACAGACCAACTTGACACTTTAAAAATAATTTCTGGTTCCTGCTTTTGACAGCTGCAGTCTGAATGTCTTAACCAGAACTAATATACACCTTTTAAAAGAAGTATGCTTTTTTGATTTTATCAGGACCTCAGAAAATTACCATACTATTGTTGTGTAAAAAAAATTCCATTAACTCCTGAATATAGCATCCAAATCTCCTTCCAAGTATATCTCACTTCCTCAACTTTTAAGATGCTCTTGCTTGTAAGGAACATTTACAGCAGCATTCCATAAGCTACAATATGACTTCGAATAGTGTTCAATTTATAGATTTTAAAAAGTAACGTCCATTTTGAATTTTGGGCATGACAATACATGGATCAGCTTTACCTCCTCAGTGGAGAACCTTCACATTTATACATTTAATAGTAAACTAAAACACAGTGTGGGTATGTCATGGCAGCAAGAGTAAGTACAGTCATTTTTGTTCACCTGGTTTACTTGATAAACACCAGGTGAAACCAAGACAGCAAACAATTATGTGTAAACTGGTCCCTGGAGGACCAGGGTAATAACTGGGGCAAGTGGCCTGGAAGGATGTCTACCATTTCAGGAGAGGTGTGTTTAGCTCTCCTGTAACCAGACCTCCCCACAGACTCAAATCATGCTTGACTCCACAATTTTTTTTCTTCCTTTCTTCCTTGCAATCAATATATTTTGGTGGTACCTTCTTGCCCCCAACCAAGTATACTGCAAGGCCTCCCTGTTTAGCTAAGGTTTTAATAAGGTACTGTGGGAACAACTTCGTCCTTAGCTCTACTTTCAGGTTTCAATATATGTATATATACTTTAATTATACTTGCTGTTAAGGTATTATTGACAGCCACGATGTATAGAAAAACAACTAAAATGCCTAGTTAAATACCCAGAATATTAATTTCTAGCAAACTGCCAACATACGCCAGTGAAGATATGTCTGTCAGGTACTAAAAAAAAAACCCACCACAAATCAAATCAACTGTGGGACATCTTCCCAATTCTAGCAGGCCAAAGAAGACATTTCCTAATGCCTATCTTATGAGAAGCAGCTGAGGGAACTGGGGTTGTTTAGCCTGGAGAAAAGGAGGTTGCAGGAAGACTTTATTGCTCTTTACAACTACCTGAAAGGAGGTTGTAGAGAGATGGATGTTGGTTTCTTCTCCCAAGTAACATTCAACTGGACAAGAAGAAACACTGTCAAGTTGTGCCAGGGGAGGTTTAGGATGGATATCAGGAAAAAGTTCTTCACTTAAAGGGTTATCAAGTATTGGAACAGGCTGCCCAGGGAAGCAGCTGAGTTGCCATCCCTGGAGGTATTTAAAACATGTATATGTGCTGAGGGCATCGTTTAGTGGTAAATTGGCAGTGCTAGGTTAATGCTTGGACTTGATGGTCTTAAAGGTCTCTTCCAACCAAAACGGTTCTATGATTCTATAATCTGTAAACAGACATTTAGCCTGTTGGGCAGGACAGTACTCCTCCTGGTGCTGAGCTAGGGGCTGTGTGACAAGTTACAGAGCATTAAACCTTCAAGAAGTGGCAAGTGGCACACATACATGCTGTCTGTTGGTAGCAGATTCTCAGAACGGCAGCACATGCACTGACCACTTGTGTGTATACATCGTTAAACTAACCACTAAAACTCTCATCTCACCTGCTTTAAGATATCACGTACTATGCCCCTCACTGCAGTCTGTCCATGACTTACAGGGGAAGTTGTCCTGCTGTTTCTTTCAGCAAAAAAATTGTACCCATATACTTCTTACATACCCTCTTACACCCGCTGGGTTGAGGGAAAGCTGACGGGTTGGCACATCAACAACCTATCTAATGGATTTAAACATTGTAATCAAGAAGTGATCATTCTAAGAAATTCTGACAAGATAGAAATCAAGTAGACTGCCCAAGAAATAGCTTGAAATAAAAAAATCCATATAGCTATGCCTATATCTAACAATTACACTTAAAAATAAACCCAACCCTTCTATATTTAGCAAAAGCTAACACAAACCAAGAAAAATACATACGAGAAGAAAACAATGTACACCCTGCTTTGGTAGTTACTGAATGCTTACAAGCAAACAGAGTTTCACAAAGCTTTGAGACTGAAATTTCCCTGCTCCCTATTTTTCTCCTTAAAAATAAATCACTGTGTCTGAACATCGGAATTGTGGTCTATTGTGAGCTGAGCTGAAATTATGTAGTGGATTCAGCACATACTGGAAAAGCAGAAAGCTCCTGCTATCTTTGTGAGCTAGTTGAAAAGTGAAAACAGATTAGAAAAATAAGTTCTTCAATAGGCAGCAACATTGCTTTCACACCAGATTTGATGAATAAGTCCTCCCAGCGGCACTAACACCTGATACGCACATTGCATGGATTAGCAAGTTTTAGTCCAGGCAGAAGAAAAAACATTTTTTTTTCCCCTTCCAGTAACTGCTGCAGGTATATTATCTAATGAAAACACAACAAGATTTCTCTAAGGAATGTGAAATTCATTTGGTGTTTCCATCAAACAATTATATGTTGTTCATCCACTATCTGAGAAGCACTGAGGCATATCCAGACTTGATTACATTTATTCTTAGCTCCGGATCAGACTACCCCACTAGGGTGGCAAGCAGTTTCTCATCTCTGCCTTACCAGATTCTTGATGCAGGCATACACAAAAGAGGGGTTTCTAATAACAATACAGCCACATTTGCTTAATATCTTGATCATCCTAAATCAGAATGTCTTTGATCATTAATGGAGCCTTTTGGAGTGTTTCGAATTAAAGGATAAATTTTCAAAGACGTGTAACAGGGATTTGCTGACTGTCTTCTATTAAGACCAGTGGGAGGTAAACAGCTCAATCCCCATACACTGCTCAGAAATGTACCCTTTCAAATACAGTATTTTCAAAAGGCATGAGGCTTTTCAATAACTAAGAAGCTTCTAAGAAAAACAGCATCGTTTCCACTGATGTATCTGTCAGCTAATGCTACTTCCAGGAAAACATTAGGCCTGCAGAAAACAGAACGGTTCAAAGACTGTCACAGGAGAAGAACATGGAGTTCTCCTAGTAGCTGTGCCCCTTAAGCTGCAAAGCATGTGTTCTTATGCACATATATGCACTCATATGCCAGACTCTCCCCCTCTACATACAGAACAGGACACAGGGCTAAGTGAAAAGTGGTCTTGCAACAAACAGCACTTTTGCATACCAGCGTTCACTGACGACTCTAACTTTTCGAGATTATTAGCAGGAGGTATAACAAAAATATCAGTTCAGCATAAAAAAAGACTCAGAGGAGCATGAGGTAAACAAGGATTAAAGACATATCGTAAGAATGATGTCAAGCCACACCTGATGAAAACAATGAAGGTTAACATGCAATGTATTTGTTGCAAATGTGGAGGGAAACAGAATCTTCCCCCAGCTGATGGCAAATTTTGGTCATATCACAGAGTCACAGAATGATAGGGATTGGAAGGGACCTCTGGAGCTCATCTAGTCAACACCCTCTGCCAGAGCAGGTTCACCTACAGCAGGTTGCACAGGACAGCATCCAGGTGGGTTTTGAATGTCTCCAGTGTGGGAGACTGCCCCACCTCTCTGGGCAGCCTGTGCCAGTGCTCTGCCACCCTCAAAGTAAAGAAGTACCTCCTCATGTTAAGATGGAACTTCCTATACTCAAGTTTGTGCCCATTACCTCTTGTCCTATCACTGGGCACCACTGAAAATGACTGTTCCCATCCCCCTGGCACCCTCCCTTTAAGTATTTATAAGCATTGATAAGATCCCCCCTCAGTCGTCTTTTCTCCAGACTAAAAAGACCCAAGTCCCTCAGCCTTTCCTCTTAAGAAAGATTTTCTAGTCCTAGACCCCTAACCATCTGCATAGCCTTTTGCTGTACCCTCTCCAGCAGTTCCCTGTCCTTATGTGCTAAATCCACAATGTGGTCCTTAACAGTTCTGAAAAACATGGCAGTTTATGGAAGTGCACAAGGGAAATCAAAATCTCAATTGCTTTTTGGAAATGCAATAAACTACACATTCTTCTCCCTGATGATTTTTATCATTAATAATGTAATCTCACAAACTAAATATCAGAAGGTGTAAACAAGTGTTAGAACAGATTCTTGAGAGCTATTCTTCCCATTACGGCAGGATTTTTCTATTCAGCAAGGAATTTTTACAAGTTATCTCTGAGAGACAGATAAGGATATACGGAATTCCCTCTCTCATATTCTTTATTAAATACATATTTCTTATTTAATTAAAAGACTTTGTAAGATTACTTTTGATTCATTTGGTCAAATAACAAAGACTAATTAGAACAACCAAGGTTTGGAAGCCCATTAGAAAATAATCATTCTCAGCCGCAAAAGTAACAAACATGAATTGAATATTAAGACATTATCTTCTCAAGGTCAGAAGAAATAGTTCAAGAGGTTCCAACTCTGTAATTTAAAAAAAAACCAAAAAACAAAAAACCCACAATACCATACCAAACAAACAAAAAATAAAAAAAAGGCAAAAAATGAACCATAACCAAACAAAAAACAAAACCAAAAAACCCCAGAAAGAACAGGTATCTGGGAAAGTACTTACTACAATGTCTTCAGGAAAAGTATCCAGACTGAAAGAGCCATCATCAAACACAACTTCGTAGAAAAGTTGAGATGTCACTCCTATGACTCTGCAACTATAGTATCGTGTATTCCTATGTTTTGTGATGACCGTCTGCCCAACTGTAATGGCCTTCTCGCATGCTTTAGCTCTCTTGAAAAAAGGAATAATTTAAACAAAAAAGTCACTTAAAAATACCAGCTTACTAATCAGAAATTTATCAGTGTCAAAACAGAATTGGTAACAGTTCACCTCTCAATATAAAAACCTCAAGTGCAAAATTATTCCTGCGAATCATGATAACACAAATTTGTTTTACATACAAAGTTTATGCATTTTATGAGAAAACAAATGAGATCTGCAGAATAACAAATCACAACACTCAAAAATATTTTTCCAACCGATGCCTTCTAACTATTTTGCATTAGATCAAAACACACAATTAGCAACATTTGTAAATTTTATTTGTGGAATAATTTGTAGAATTTGCTTGAAGAGGTAAGATGTGATGACCCTAGACTATGGTCTTGTATTGTTTTAATTGATGGAACTTTTAAGTACTGCATTTCAGAATGATTCTACATAATTGCTTAATATTCTGAATAGTTGAATGGGATGCAATAACTAAATGCATATCCAATTCTCGTCAGAGCTGTCCACAGTAGTGTACTGAGAAACTTCTTAACCCATACTGTGCAGAACTTTTGCTTTAAAACTTCAGACAACATTGATCACTCTTCATCAGTTATTTATGTAGTATATCAGTAACAATATTTTTTTTTATTTCTTTTAATTCCCTAGAGTTAGTTATGTCAATCAGAATAGTAGCAGGGTTGTTGAACTATGCAAAAATTCTACATCGATAACTGCTTGATGGATACTATAAGTAAAAAAAAAAAAATAATTGCAACCTCGTAAGTGAGCAAATGCTCAGAAGCCCACACGATGCAGACAGCTGTTACATATCAGCTCCCAACTAATGTATCCCCATGAAACTTTCACTTAAAAAGCAACCTTCTTCATCAGGAAAAATACAGTCAAGTGTTTCTCATTCTAATAACACAAGGAAGGCACTTCTTTTTTATGATCCTGACTATCTGTTCATTAGCCACAAAGGTCCATTTGTTTACGCACGAGTGAGTTAGTGTGACTTTGGCTATATCTGAACTGTTCAACTTTTCTTATAATGGAAGATGCAACTACAAAGGGCAACTACACTGGTATATACTAAGCATTTATTTTTTTTTTAGAAATGTTTATCTAAACAGCATGAAAATACTTTATTGCATATGCTAAAGCAATCACTCAATTTCCTAGCACTGCTTTTCCAACCTTCAAAGACAGTGAATTCTTCAATCAATATAATAATCTTAAAAAATGCCTGTGAAAATCTAGAAAATGCTACAGCTGTAGAATTTTTAGCATTAATATCAAATGGAGAACCAACGACAGCATCAGTTCTTTTTGTTAGACTCCAAGTGTATGTCAATGCTTTTGGGGAGAAGGAAAATCCCACCCTACACTTGAACACTTCGGTTTTTGTGGAGACTGTAGTCACTATCGTGCCTCTTTATTGGACCAATTTCTGGGACTGAGAGTTTTTAAACTTCTCTGCTCCTGCAAACTAAGGGCAAACCAAGTACAAATATTCTGTTCCATTTCTCGAGACAGTGCACTAAATCTCTGCGTGTCAGAGCTCTGCCTGACATACACATTTGGAGGATTTAGTTGAGGTGACCTCAGATAGTAAAACCCAATGATGTTTCTAAAGCATTTTTAAGTTTACCTAGAAATAATTTTCTGAGCATACTCACAAATTATTTAACCATTTACATGTATAACAAAATTGTTTCTTCCTCATTTCACCTGTCTATAGTTAGACTAAGTAGCAGAATTAAGTACACAAATAACAATTTACTGGTATTATCACAGGAGTGATAACTGACAGTTAGCACTTTTTACCCAATTGTGAAACATATGTAAATATAAATATTAATTTACCTTTTAATTCTTGACTTTAGTCTATTCAGGTATTGGGGGTAGGGACACAGGGGAAAATCAGAAGTAGACTGGAGAGTATTAATTGATTTACTTATAGGAGATAGTAGAAAAAGTTTGATAGTATAGTACAGAAGCCCAATGAGAAATAGCTCTATTAAAAGGCTTAAATGTTTTGAAAGCCTGAAGATGGAACTCTTTAGAGAAGATGGAAGGCAAAATGTAACGCTTTAAGGGACAAGTTCATTTAATGATAAAATTTTCAGAGAAGAAACGAAATTGCTCATTAGAACAAATAAAAAACCAAGATGCATCCTAGCTGAAGGAGAAGATTATTTTTTAGCATGTTATCTTGGTAGGATTCTTGATTTATTTCTCAGAAAAAATATTGACAAGCACACTCTGTAATTGATTGCATGTCCCAGAAAACATTTCCTGTCAGAAAATCTTAAGAATTTATTGACGTTAAGAATGTCATTTTTGATCAGAAAGAACAGTTATTATGTAAGGGAGTCTATCAGATTAAAGAAACAGCTGTGCTAGTTACCAGATTATTGAGAAAGCTGTGGTTTAAAAAGCATGATTTTTTTTTAACAGTACCTAAGCCAAGGATGAACTAAAATAGTAGCAGAAATACAGAAAACAAGCAGATACGAAGGAAAAAAAAAGTTAACCTCCCCTTCTGTGTGAAAACTTGAAAAAGATAAGAGGGAAAATTACTTTTGCCTTCATTTTCTGTACGGCAGGACACAAAAACCTTGTTAAATAAAATATATAAACAACATATATATGAAATCATAATGCATCTGATGTATATCCAAATATCTAGAAACTTTCTGTACAATTTTTCATGGGGCATCCTCAAAAATCTGGGACTTGTTTGATACAGGAACATAACTCTCATTTCATCATTTTAAGCTTACTCCTCAGGACTGCAATTTAGGCATAGAAATGATGCATGACATTTCAAAAATATGCCGGCTCATGATTTTTGAATAATATGTCCTTCCTAAGGCATGTCTTAGTCTCTCTGAAATGTTAAGGGGCTGGCAGTAGTTAGCAGGCAGTGGCAAACAAGGACATTGCATTGCTCGGGTATTCAACAGAAAAAAAGATCTACAGCTTCCATTTGATAGCATCCCTTCATTCCCTGTGTGCTACAGAGGTAAGAACTGGCCAATAATAGCAGAAGGTAATTTGAAATAGCTCAAAAAGCAGCAACAGCAGGTTTTTGCAACTCCTATCCAGTGGGTTTTTGCAACTCCTGTCATTGCCCCTTCTAAAGACAGCTAGTCTCAAAATGTCAGCAACTGCGGCTGTCCAGACGGCCTCTTCTGCTCACACCTTCCAAATGAAACGTCACCTCTGAGTATATGTTTTAATTTCCAGCTGGCTTTCCCTGACCCTCAGTGCTGGTTTTGCTAATCTTGTATGGATCCCTTAGGGTTTTTTTTTCCCTGTTAGTATAGCTGCATACAACTCATTTTTCTCATTTCCTTGTGTACGAAAGAGTTCTTTTAACCAAAACAAATCCATCTGCAGCACCTATTCTGAACCATACTTCCAAGTGTTCTTGCAGTCTGATGACAAAAAGGTGTAAGGGGTATGTTTCACACCCAGAGACAAGCACAGTCAAAGAGGAGAAATGAAGAAAACATGACCTGCTGTCTCTAAGTAGTAAATTGCAGAGCCTTCCTTGCATATTGACACTCCAATTCACAAAATAATATAGGCTGCGACAGGAATTATAAAAACCATGCTGTATATAGCAATTTTTCTGCTAGCAAATTTTTGTGCTTTTTTTAAAGCTGTACCTTCAGCAAATACAAGAGACGTGCTTGGGTTTGAGTCTATGCACCTCCAAAGAACTCCAGTTCTTAGTATTTATGTATTTACTTCACTTTGCAGCACTACATGGATGCAAGTATTATGCGTTCCCTTTCGATCGTCTTTATGATGATTTTTCACTAGAAGACCCACCAGTATTTTCCATGGTTGAAATTAAAATAGTACTCTAGGAAAAATTCTTGAAGACAATAAAGAATCTGATCCCCAGTGAAAAAGACTTGTGAAAGTATATTGGTGAATAATTTGTATACAATTTGCTTGAGATCACAGTTATAAATAATTTGGATGCATGCTCCATCTCATCATTACAATAAGCCCTTGCCTGAGGTGAAGAGATACACTAATACTAGTAACAATACGTATTTATTTGTACACAGGCAGGCTTTTCATTGAGCACCCTCATTGTTTTACATACAACAATACCGCTAAAGACATATGTCACAATTTTGCCAAGTGCCCAGAAGCCATCCTTTGGTTGTTGAGTTTTGGCTTGCTTGGTGGTTTTGGTTTTTTTTAAACTTGAAGAAAGCAGAAATCACAGGTATTCACTGAGCATTTAGGCGCAATATCCAGAGGATATACGCGTGAAAAAACAGACAATTTAAATTTTATTTCCTTCAAATGAGGAAAAATAATAGTGTCCTTGCTTTATGTAAAATGTTTTCAACTCCTAAATACCAGAAGAGGTTTTTTTATCTTGCTGACAAGACAATCTATTTGATTCCTGTAAAAATCCACAAAGTGAGTATATTTCAGCCTCCACAATGCCCTTCTTCTGCTTTCAAGTAAGGAAGTTAAAATAACAGACAAACAAAAGAACTTCATTAGAAGTAAGATACATTGCCATGCCTAATGGTGAAGAGCAATGTAATTTCTGCATGAAGGAATAGCTAATAGCTAAGAAAACCATAACAAGAAAACCAATGGTGAAAATACTTCCAAAGGCTTAAAGATGTGATTAGATTAATTATCCAAAAGACAGATTATAAAACCAAGCATATACAAACATATGGCAATCTCCTTTGTCTCAAGCGTGGGTTAAGAATTTCGCAGAAAAGGATTCTTTAACAAAAATATCTGTTTTTCCAAGTTTTGGCCTAATGAAAAATACAAAAGTATAATTTTTCTTTCTCTTCTGCAAATCTGATTTTGATTTGAGACATGGGAAATAATAATACAGATTTTCAGATTTTTTTTTTTTTTTTTTCCAAAAAGATTGGTGCTGAGTTTCAGGAAAGGATGTGCTAGTCTCATTCCAAGCTACTTTGAACAGTCTTCACACATCTCTTATGTAGTAGCCACCCAAGCCCCTATTTCTGTATAGATGGTAGGGTTGGGGTTTTTCTTACACTACCTAATACAGGTCAAGAAAATCAGTAAGAAAAAAGGGATTTTATAGGATTCCATGTGACTCTATTTCTATTGTGTTTTTTTTTTTTCAGATGAGCGTGTTTTGTTTCTTACCATTCAAAATAATAGATATTCAATAACTTCTTTAACTAGAGAAAGTGTAGACTAAGAAAGTTAAGTGCTAAAGTCTGAACTGTTCTATATTAAACTGAAAGTAGAAATTCCCCGTAAACAACCTACCTTGTTTTTATTAATAACTAATATGAACACAGAAATGCCAAAAAAAAGTCTGTTTAGGACAGACAGACCACTACATTAAGTGCTGTATAAACACAGAAGAAATAATCTGAAACTTCTGCACATTTATCATTGAGTAGCATAAAAGAGAATAAGGTGAAGAAAATCACATGCATTATTTAACAGCATAAGGGGACTCCACCATCAGAGACAGATATATTACAGGAAGCTGGAAAAGTTAAGGGGCTGTGGAAGTGGCCACAATATACACATGAAGTGGGAATAGAAGAAAGTATAATGCAGAAAGTCCTATTTGATCAGAGAATGATTTGCCAGCTACTGATGCAAATCTTACTACCTAAAGACTTGTGCCAAAAAAATGCTAGAAAATATCTGGGAAGAACAGCCCTATTGTTACCAGCCATGATTTTAACCCAGTTATTTTCAACTAATAATAATGTTTTCCAACAAAGCCAAGAAAAGTATCTTAAGTTGCCTGTAGAGATAGAGGTTTGTTTGTTTTTCAAACCAAACTAATTTTGAAGAAACTAAAACCACATGAATTGTACTCATTTCATATGGTAATTCATTTTGGAAAACAAAAATATTTAAAAGGCTTAATGGTTATGTGGAAGTTTTAAACAGGCCCACACAATTTGTTTCCCTTTTTAAGAACGACCAGATTGAACATTCAGGACTGACTGATTACTCTACTTGGGAGGCATTACATTTTACTACACTTGAAAGAAAATCTTACTCTTCAGTAGTCTTGTCATTAAGACCAAAGATTCACTGCCAACCTCTTGAAAGAAAGACATATATTATAGAGACATTACCTGGGTTTATTTTTTTCACTTCTAATGTACAAAGGATATAAAAAGTTTGCAACTTGCAAATTCTCAACTTGTCTAACTTACCAAGCTATTTCCTTAATAAGACTATGTTAAGTCCTTCTGGTTTGCTAGAAAACAAAATACAGTTTTAAAAGCCCAAGATAAATGGCAATAGTTTTCTCTTAACTGAGGTAGTAACAATTCATTTGAATAAAAGACATTAAAACCTACAAGACAATAATAACTAATTCTTCATGTGTCTCATCTAAAATTAAAGGTTCCTCCTCAGCACAGGCCAGAAATAAAAAGGCACAGTAATAACATGAATTTTCATGACATACCAGTGTTACCTTGCCAGATGACAGAACAACTATAATTGGATATTTGCGAGACACTATTTGGCTGCAGAACAAAGAACTTAACATATACACCATATCCTTTATCTCACAGTACCTGTGAGTATTTGCAAGATACTGTGATCTGGGTATTTGTAATACACTCCAGGTTAACAAAACAGAGAACTCAAAGACTTGCTTCTGGCTGTCAAAACAATACATTCAACAATGACACTAATGCAAAAATGTGTTAGGCATACCAAATATCATTTCTTGCAGGTAATGGCATAAGAAAACACCTTAAAGATGTAACAGTTTGCTTTGTATGGAAGTATGATAGATGGAGCTAGACGTGGTGTGGATCCTTCCTTCCATTTTCTCTGGAAACATACTTTAATTCTGCAATTCCGTTTTTTAACAAATAAGGGAACAAATTCCTTACCGCGTTTTGGTTAACCTTGTGCCTGAAACATGTGATGTAGACAACATACGGCCAATCATCAGGTTCCATCAGCACTCCTGCAGCATGGGCACAGGTAACATGGAAGGAGGCTGGGCAGCATCCATATGAACACTGAATGCAGGCACCAGAGATTTTCTTAATTCTCTGTCTGCAGAAGATACATTTCTGTAGAAGCAAAATAAACAGAATATTTACCATACCACCCGAACTCCATTGACTTCTGCAAGTATCTCCAGGATTGAAAAGTTAGTTTTGCTTCACTGATTATATTTTATACCTTGCAATACACATGGGAAAAGAAGAAGCATTTATGAAGTAAAAGGCAACTTAGTAATATGATAATTAATAGACAGCACTTTTGCCTTTTTTATGTTAATGTGAAGATGATCTGTTCTGGTGCTATAGTAAGAAAACTGATATATAGATAGCTATTTAATGGTTTGATTTCAACTTCCATGCACCTCTCTGAAAATTAACCTGCTCCTCGTCAAATGGGTAAATCAAAAAACCTATACATAATTCTGCAAAAAGTAACAGCAAGGCTCAAAAATAAAAGGGAATAGGCTCACAGAAATGTAGGGCTCAACCCAACTTCCACATACCATTTAACCCAGCCCCTTACTTTGAAGCTGGAATACATATATACTTAAACAGTCTTTGGGAGATAGTTGATCTAACATATTCATGAAACGGTTTCTACAACCTCCTCCGATAACCTGAGCTAGGTTAATTAAGTCTGGGAAATAAGCTCTACCATACTAAAAAAGACAAAGTGCCAGATGACTGGTATCTTTCCACCAAAAGACATTAGCAAACATGGTAGATAGATAGAATAGTTACTTTAGTAAACTTCTATGGACAACTGTGTTATATCGCATATGGGAACTATCCTCTGATAACTCTTATCACAACTAACAAAACTGCAAATGATATTGATGATCATAAAATTAACTCAGCTATTCTAAAATACAGACATTTTATTTAGTGACACAAACCAGTGAACTCAGTAATTTGAAAACATACTGCTGGAATAGTGATCATTTCCATTTGTTCTAAATTCACTAGTCACTTATTTTGTTAAACACCCTCTTATCTGCCTATGCTGGGAACACAAGTAAGAATAATTTTGATCTATTTTTACTGTATGGTTAATAATTCAAAGTATTTCAAATTAACTCACATCACATTCTTCTTCTCAGATTACCAGAGAATTTTTTTCTGTTGTTTATTAATTTCCATATTTTGAAGAAAATTTGTGGAAATTTTATTGTATAATTCAGCACTTAAGTAGTTTCAATGGCTTCTCACACTCGGTTTGTGACTGAAATAATGCTTTTTGCAGTGTTAGCCCTGTTAAGTTCATCAGTCATGCAGGGTTCTAGTTCATGCATCATTCTGCATGTAAAAACCTCTTCAATTTCTGCCTTCATATCCACGCTCGGAAAGCCAAAAGCCTGCAAGGCTTTGCACAGGAAGAAGCAACAGTAGCATCTGGAACTTCGTTAAAAATTTTACCTATCATTTGCTAAAAGGATGACAACTCAACTCAGTCGCTGCAGCAGCATCAGGTCTCCAAGACCAATAAGAGGTAAAGATGATTTTGCCATAAAAAGAAATGTTCTGGAGACCACTGATATGCTTATATCTCATTGTGCATTTATATTCACGTGCATCAAGTCATTTTCAGGGACGTCAAGTAACTGTTTCTTGAGGGAGCTTACGGATTTTTTTATATACACATATTCAGAATCCTGTACAATGGGAATTCCAGAAAGAAAATGCAATTGAAATCTATTACATGTAATGTCTAGGCACTGAGTTCATGCAAATACGCAGCTCCTTTTGGATGCTTTTCACACAGATATTCACACAAATACACCAGTCAGTTTAATAAGAGAAGAATGACTGAAGTACGAAACACATATGAGTAATAAAAAAAACCAACCCAAGCACCAAAAAAATCCCCCCAAAAACGGACGTATGTTCTGACTAAAACACTCCAAAAATGCAGTTCAAACAAAACATACAGAATGGAGAAAAGGGGTAAAAACAGTAAAGTGCAGCTGAACTAGCAGTAACTTAAGGAAGTATGTTACAGCAGGAAATGCTGATCCCCTAAATAATGGCTGCACTTGTGCGAGGCAGGAAATATGCAAACATTACAGTGTGGCTGTAAGTTTCTTCAGCATCTTACTAAGGTATCATGAAAACTTGGGAGATGCAGAAATCTAAAACATTAAATTACATGAGGAATGCTTCAGAAAAAGATGCACTTACAAGTAAATATATATGAACAATTGTTCTTCTATTTTAATATTTTAAGACTTATCACCTTTCAGAAATGGAAAAGCTGAGGAAAATAAAACCAATATGAGGACAGTGAGAGATGCTGCGTGGGAAGCTGGAAGTGCAGTCAGGAAAACTGAAAATATAATACATTAAATGGGTTGGCCAAATCCAGAGAAATTAGAGCAAAACTTCATCCCTCCCTGTAAAAGAGACTGACTTCTATGTTCTCTTACAGCATAGGTTAACTTAATAAGAAAGTATTAGGCAAACCGACATATTGTAAGAAAAGTTACTTCTCACAGGATTTTACAGAGTTGCAACTTGAAAGTACTGAAAAATTTAATTTTTAAAAAAAGCTGTCAAATTACTACTGACTATATTCTGATTTCCATCATGCTGGTGTACAATTACAGTAATACTGATGAAAAGTGAAATTACTTCAAATTTACTCTTATTATAATAGGAATACTGCTTAGCCATATGTAATTATGTGAATGCAGACTTCAAGTTGCATGAAGAAAGTGAAAACACTTCCTGTGTTTTAACCAGGACACAAATCCATCTCACTGCTAGATACAAGGAAGGTAGCTGTTACATCAGTTAACTCCAAACACACATTAATCTTTTGTGCTATGCCCTTACACTTATCGTGAATATGAACAGGGGCAAAAAAATTACTGTACCTGCAGGAAAAAAAAATAAATCCCAGAAAAATTCTGAAAATCAGTCTTCTCTCAGAAAGCACAAAAAGAATCAAGATTGACAAACAGCGAAACATGTTTCCTAATATTTGTAAGATGCTGTATCTTTTGTACAAGTATGACACTGAAAGGGTTGATGCAGATGTACCTCAGTTTTACCACGAGTCTCAAACTTAGACATGAATTTTGGAAAGTACACAAATGCACTAATGAAAGTCTGGTGCACAAGCAAACTCACATTGCCTCACTGTATGGCTCCATTCAGAGATATGAGAAAAAGCTCCTTCATCTTTGAAAATGTCAAACAGTTAATCTACCGTATTTGATTAATAAAATCAGAATACACAGAATAAAAGCAGAACAAACTATAAAAATCTGCTTTGCATAGGCTTTTGGAACCTTAGCTGAGCTACATACTAAGCTGCGTATTAGCTGTAAGTAGTATATTGAACTGTGCTGTGTCTGACCCATACTGGCAATTCTTTGTCTCCCTAGCTTCTAACTAATAATGTATTTCTCATACTCTCACTTGGGGCTTTAGAGCATACAGATTTAAATTATTTTTTTCACCTTTTTTCCCCATGTTAATGTTAATTTTTATAGTAAGGCATTTATGGAAAAAAAAAAAAAAAGGATGATACAAATGCTTCATTCTGCTTTGTTAAAAAAAAAAAAATAAATCACTGAAAGTGACCAAAGGGAAAAGGCATCAAAACTATGAGAGAAGAGAGGGAATCACCGGTTGTGAAGACTCCCTCCCACCCTTGTCTGAATCTGATTTTTGTAAGTTTGTAAAATGAAGGAATTGTATATAACATAACCAATCTTGAAGCACTCCTGCAGAGGATAGAATCTAAACACCTCTCTGTCTGGGCAAACCTTGTATTTAGGTATGTAAGCTTGCTACTTGCGAAATTAAACAAGCTTGACATAATATGAACACATTTACTGAAATACAGCTAATTCAATACAGCCCAACTGACAGCTTCTCAGTAGCCTGAAACTACAGCTGTTCCTACCAGCAAATTCAACATCGCAGATAGCTAGGAAGACTGTCATTTTGACTTAATGCTTGCTAGATACTAGTGCAAAGCAGAGACAATGGGGGAAGTAGCTGAGGATCAATCTTAATCATAGATTCAGATGCAAAATGAATTGGAGAAAAAATAAAATTGTTTATATAACTGGAGATTAAGAATATAGGACAGAGAAATGTACTGCAATTTTCTAGATGGTGAAATGACCTCTTTTTTCCCCCAAAATGGAAAATATTCTGCTGCAAATGGATTTCCTAATCATGGAATAGCTCTTTAATAATAATAGGTTGCAAATATACAATCAGAACAGATTTTAAAGAATGAGCCTGAGGAAACTGGATGCCAGTATTTTGCAGAAGAAAGCCCACTGATAGCTTTCATAATAACTGTCATGTATTCTTACATAAAGAATTTGATATTGCTTCTCCCAAAAAGAGTAATATTTAAAAAACAAAATTCCAGTCCCTAACAGGATCATGAATTAAACACAGTTTCTGATGCAAGGATTTATGAAAATAAGCACAAGCTGAGTTTGCGGCAGAAAGCTGGGGCTAGATTTTAGGAAACAATTTGTAGTATTGATTTCTCCCAAACGCATTTCTATGCTTTGGCAAGAAGAATGACTTATGTGAAAAAGCTCACTATAGCAAGGCATTAAATTCTACAAAAAGACGATAGTTCAAGACAGTTTCTAAAAATTACTTAATTTCCAAATATTACTAAAAAACAACCCATAAGAGCTCTTCTTCTACTGCTACAGATGGTTATTAACTACTACTCATGAATTGAATTGTGTATTCTCATCCTCTTTCACACATTATACAATATAGATAATTATATAATATAATATATTAAATTATATAATATTTTAAAAATATTCCTTCTAGGAAATAAACACTAAGACAGAGACACCACTGTAACATTTAGGAAATTAATGAAAAATCATGGGTGATATTTTTTTTTCCTATAAGATCTGCTATAGCCCTCCCTGCATTTTGAAATGAATCTGCTTTGCTTCAGAATTTATATTACCAGACAAGCAATATTGCTGTTGTGTATGATCACACTCTAGATATGAAATGTTGGTCCTACTGTAACCAATAGTAAAGTACCCATAGATTTTAACAGAGCAAAGATT